GTAAAACAAACATAATAAGACGACGTACGTATAAAATGATTAGTGGTGGGAGTTTACCTTTATACACAAATGTATTTACCACTGGCTTGGGCAAACTCTGGGTGACTCTATGGAATTTTGATTCAATTGATAGATTTCTGAGGTCTCATCATTAAATGGGAGTGTCTCTACATCAATTAGTCGGACGAGTCAGACTGTCGTTTTTCCTTTAGAAGGGAGGGGAACACAACCTTTGTCGAGGAATATAGGCATCGCGTCGATCGATCGTGGTCTACGATTGTTGTTATGTGCATTGGCCACCGCGCGCGAAAGAGCGCAGCGAGCGCGGTGTGTATGTGGTTGTGTTGGCGAGGGGCTCGAACTCTTACTGTGTGTCTCTTGGTTAGCTTCCCGTAATCATCATTAGACATTACTTTCGTTACAGCCAGTCCGGTGCAGTACATCTGTCGGAGTGGGAGACACTCCGTCTCAGCTGGGTGTAAACGCCGACCACGCAAAATTGTTATATCATGGCATATAACGGCCGTCGACTCATGGCACGGCCATGAGTCATTCTCTCGGCCATGGTTGTACCATTTTTAGTCTTCACGGTCCATGACCGATGGCCGCTCATGGCCGGGTTAAGTGCGTGACCCGTATAATATGAAAATAAAAAGTTTTATGGTTTGTCTAGTACGTAAAATCGGTAAGGAGTAAAGCGCAGTAAATTGTGCACAGAAACGTACCCGACTAAGACACTCTTTGTGTGTGGCAGATTGTCCGGACGTATACATGATTCGCAGGGTGGCGAAAGCTTGCCGTTACAGGACCGACAGAGGAGGACTAACCCTCAACCGGGTTCATCGGAGCATGCGGTGAAGACCACTGCAGTATACTTCACAGTTTAGACCTAGTCAGGACATAGTCTAGGCAACGTCGGGGAAAAATTCTCTAACGATACCTCCTTTTATCTCTCCCAACCAAGACTGTGAACCACTCAAGGGACCTTGTGGCCCTGTGTATAAGTACATAACTTTCTGCATGTTTTCACATAAGAAACGTACTATCCGTGGGAAATTTATATATATTATTGATGCGAGTAATCAAAAAAAATAGGCCTTGTTCCGAACGTTACTATAGGAGGTGTTGTCTATATCAGGTTGTATGTTTGATAAAACTGTGTGTAAAAGAAACGGTTCAGACTTCCAGAGATATTTTTTTTCGTGAAAAAGGTAAGATAAACTTGTTGAGAGCTAAAACTAGTCTTTGCTGTTGCCTCAAAGAGGAGCAGGGGGGAGAGGAGGGAGACAGGAGAGGCCGATTCAGGAGCCCAGACACACTCACAACTATAAATGAACCAAAAACAAATAAATAAACAAGTTTCAATGTTTTTTCATATTGGATATTGTATGTTATTGGTTATGGCCATGTACTTATGATTTTATGATTATTTAAATGTATACATTTTTGTTTCATATGGTGTAGTCTCTTTATTTCCCCCTCAAAAATGCACCAGATTGATGCATTTAAGTCCAACATTTAAAAAAAAATCTTACCGGGGGAGCATGCCCCCGGACCCCCCTATAGGATTTGAGGCCCGGCACCACTGTTCCCAAATAGATTTGCAATTTTTTTTAAATAGTAACCCATCTCCATATGTTTCTTTTTGGGTAGTAGATTTAAACTAGAGGGCTATCACTTTGTGCAGCAACGCTATTGACAAATAAATCCAGCAAAATGGCACAAAAAACTGGTAGTGGCCTCAGGGACGAGGAGTCATTTAACCAGCCAGTAGGAGTCAAGCTTTACTTTCTTTTATATCCATAAAGAAAAAGTAAATTTTACAGTTGTTTCATTATGGATGTTGAGAGGTATCCATATATCTCTTCATTTTGCTCTCAAAGTGCACCAGATTGATGCATCTAACTTCAATATTTAAAAAAAAATGTTCCCGGGGGAGCATGCGCCCGGACCCCCCTAGACTAGAGGGTGTCAGGTCCACTCCCCACTTATAAAAATAGCACCTTACCACTGCACCCCCTCTAATCTCAGATGCACCCTGAGTCATTTTGTTTAAGTACAGTGAGCCTTTCTAAAATATACAGTAAAGAGACAAACCCACCAGCATTATAGGATATACTATGACTTTGTGCCAAATACTTGTTGCTGATTTAGAGTACTGGCACCTTTTTTATTCCAATTCAAGCACTGAATATGCCTTATATAGGTATGGTCCTACACTATATTATTCAAATATAGCATGATAGGTCCACTTGAAACGGGTCACGGGAGACCCGAACACAACATAAGGGTTAAGACATAAATAAAAGCACAACAATCAATATATATAATCGAGATATACAACATAACAGTCACTTCACTTCAATATCTTTGAGGTATAGGTTTTAGAATTTCAAGAAACATTTTAGAAAAATCAATACATTTGCTGTTTCATGCTATCATTTGTTCTCATTGACCTCAGCCCCCTTTGTTTCCACTGTTTCCAGAATGTGTGATTGTGTGTCACATCTAACCTCAGCCCAGAAGAACAACAGAGGACTCAATGGTTCCTCTTTGTGTTGATCATCAACGCGCTGCGGCCTCACATTCCTGTCGCCCTCAGCAGGAAGTGGAAACAGATAAAAGTTCCTTTGCATCACGGCGGCAAAGTCCTCCTTCGATGCCTAATCTGGAGAAAGCTGGAGGTCAATGGGCTTCCTTATACACAAATATTTGCTTTAGATTAGTTTTTTTCCCTCTTTGATAGATAGTTGGTTCAATGCCACCATCCTGCGTTGTTACATCCTTCTGGCATTTCCCCCAGCACTTAACCCCACACACTCACACAAAGCACTCACACACACTTAATGTTGTCAGTTTTGTTATTTCCTTTTGCTGCTGGTGTTTCTTTCCATTTTCTACATTCCTGCTGGAGTTCTGATGAAAAATTCCTCAACCATTGCGAGAGTTTCCGTCTTACACCTTAAACCATTTAAGGTAAAAAAAATAAAATATATATATAAATCTTTTATTCATTACTAAAAAAAATCGCAGATGATATTTGAAAAACCTCCTTTTTAGGATGAAACCAACCTTTTTTTAATTTTTATTAAATTGACAAATGTATATATTTACATTTGTGTATTTATATATTTGTTTGTTTATTTTATAGGCTTATTTATTTATTTCTATATGTATTAAGTTATTATTTATTTATTTCATAGCCATTTTTATCTATTTATTTATGATCATTTCTAATATTTAACTCAATGGCATTTCATGGCTGATTGCTGTGATATGAAGCTTTTAAATCAGTCAATCTACTAAGAAATAAATTAGAAAAAGTATCTGCATTTAAAATATTTTAAGTGAACGTGTCTTTATCTTATTTTTTATAATTATATTTATTCTAATTTTATCTGTGGATTTGATTCATATAACCTTATAACTTAAATAGCAGATAAGAGCGAGGAATACGTTGCATGACAGATGTTACTACACTTATGACTGTGTTGGAGGCCAGGCTTTGGTCAATGCAGGATGTCAGTGAGTGTGTGTGTGCGTGTGCGTGTGTGTGTAACAGAGAGCTGATGTGGCAGCCGGCTGCGTATCTCTTTATGAAGGTCAGAGCATGTTACACGCAGAGATTCTGTTTGTGTGACAGTAAAGACGGTGCCATGACCTCACTTTCCTGCAGGGGCGTGTGTGTGCGTGTGCGTGTGCGTGTGCGTGTGTGTGTGTGTGTGTGTGTGTGTGTGCGTGTGTGTGTGTGTGTGTGTGTGCTGACAGCTTACCCCAACTTCATCCTCCTCATATCAGCGGCACATGCAGGCCCCGCGCTGTTTCTGCCGCTCATCCTGCAGCGCCTCTGGAAAAACACAGAAAGAAAAACATGAAGCCCGTCACCTCACACAACCTCCTGTCTCCGTCACAATACTGAGGTATTTTACATATGTGTTTAGTTATTACTAATACTTGCACCAAAGACTGCAGTTGCAACTAATCGTTTTATTAAACAAAAACCCAGTTTCGGGATTTTCTTACATTTCTCACTCAAAAATCATTTTTCGTCCCACAGCGGGGACATTTTTAAGAAACGTATTAAACAAAGATGAAAGCACACAACCATAGTAAACAATCAATAGCAACATTACAAAGTAAAAAGTGAATAAATGGTTAGCATGATGCAATCGGGTAATGGTGTTCATTATAATGTATTTGTCATCAGTTGTTGTGTTTTGAATTCCTCTTGTAACATATTAACAGTTAATACAAATGACAGAACAAAAAATTGACTATTGGGCAACTCAAAATAACTACAAATCATAAAAAATCACACAAAAGGTGCAAAAATGATCTCCGAGAGATAAAAAAAGACACAAAGACACAATATACAACCCCAGAGAGACACACATTATCACACAGACATAAAAACAATAATGTTCAATGATGTTCAGGGGAGGCTGTGGCTCAGTGGCTAGTGTGCTGGACTTCGAATCAGGGGGGGAAAAAGTTCGAGTCCCACTGCAGTCAGCATCTCGTTGTGTCCCGGAAGACACTTCACCCCAAATTGCTCCTTTGGGGATTGTCCAAAGTACTGAATGTATGTAAGTCGCTTTGGATAAAAGCGTCTAACAAGTGACATGTAATGTTCTATCGGTGCAAACCATAAATATTTGTATTTAGTATTCTTTAGAATTTGAAAATCTAGTTCCAATCCACATAAAACATACCGAACACCATCAGTAAATGTCTCGGAATCAGCTGATCCTCTCCATGTGCTCCTTCACCCCTCTTGGCCTGTAGGGGGCGCTCACAATACTCCATGTTCTGGTCACTTCAGGAATGTGAGGAGGGCAGGTGTGTTGTGTAACAGATGTGTTGTGACGAGCACAGTACAGTAGGAGGTGCTGCAGTGATTAGTATAAGTAGATGGTCTGGAGAAGCCTGAACACAAAGCACCTGCTCTCCGGACTCAACTAACTCTAACGACTCTGAACACTTAAAGAAGTGTATATAATTCAGAGACTTTTAAGACTTTTAAGAGTTTAGTTGCTGCAGTTTTTTCGCAGTATAAGGACATCACACACTGATAAGGATGGCTTCCTTCATGTGCAGGACTCTGACTTTACTCATCATCTGCATGGCTCTGCAAGACGGTGAGGAACTTTTCTTTTAAATGTAATAATGTTACTTCATTTGAGTTTTTTTTGCTTAAAATATCATGGAAAGTTTTTCATGACTCAATACTTTTGAGGAATTTTAATTGTAATACCAGATAATTATTTTTGCAATACATCTTTTTAATATTTGATAATTTATTTGGATTATAGTTCTTCTTTGATACTTCATAATTGATTTGTATATATTTATTTTGGTACTACTTAACGAATCAGTTCAATTCAAATCTTAGTTTAAAAAAACGAAATCATTTTGTCAGAATTCTTGATTTTTAAATCTTGTAATTCATAATTCTTTGGATGTTAATGCAATAAATCATCAGCTCTTTCTTGGCTGGTTAAGATAAAGGCTCTATAATACTTAATCATAATTTCTTAGAATTTATTTTTTAAATACTAGATATCATTTTTATGGTGTATAAGACTATGCTACAAAAAAACAAAAACACTTTGACTATCTGCAAATCTCCAGAGAAAGCACAATCTAAGATCTGGGTTTAACCTTCCAGAGAACATTAACCCACCTTTTTATTGAAAAACAATCATCTTTATTGGTTTAAACCACTCGTTGCATGATTGTTTGACTTGGGTATTCATAACATAATACATATGTTCCTCCATTAATCACAATCCCATTTGTTTAACTGCAACAGTGGGTGTTAACCGGCTTGTTGGATTTCTTTGTGTGAAAGTGCACAGTCTTATTTTTGTCATTGCTATTACTGTAATGGTCTTTTTATGTTATTATCATTATTGTTTAGTCATCTTTTTTTTTTTTTTTATATCACCTGCATTTGTACTCTGTATGTTATTGTGTTATGTGTGGGACAAACCAATAAATAAAGTGTTTAAAGAAAGTGCACCGTCACCCTGCAGAGTATTAGTCTGTACTTTTTTAATCTCGGGCTCCTTTGTGTGTGTTCCAGGTTGTGGACACCCGTTATCAGAGCATCACGTCAGGACCAAACGCTGCTCCTGCAACAGCTGGGACGATAAAGAGTGCATCTACTTCTGCCACCTGGACATTATCTGGGTCAACACGCCCAGGTGAGGCTGCACACAGGAATCTAGTGCAACATTTATTACTGCAATTAAATTCAAAATATAACATGACTAATGTTTTCTACTCTTGCTACTTTCTACTTCTCCTCTACTTCAATTCCAAAGGGAACGGATGCTCTTTGTCCCTCCATGATATGTATTTAACAACTTGAGTCACAGATTTTTGCAAACAAAACAAATTGAATTACTAAATTATTGAGGTATGTTATCAATCAGTAGGTCAGGAAATATTCAGATCTGTTACTTGAGTAAAAGTAGTAATCCGAAGTATAAATATCAATTCCATACATGCTTGTCTTCTTGATTTATGATAAACTAGTTATCCTTTTCTTTACAGTGTTACTTAAGGACAAATACCACACTTTAAACTATTATAGTACAAACCTTAACTATTTTAAAATTAAGTCCTGCATTTAAATGTTACCCAAGTAAAATTATGTAGGGGTAAAATACTGTTATAAAGTGGAAGTAACCAATTCAGAAAAATATTCACATTTCAGAAGGTGAAAATATGATGTCCTCTTACATGAGAAATTAATGAAATGCCAATATTGTTTTTATTTTTGCCGACCTGTAGGCCTTTATCTTGTTAGAAATGTAATTAAAAGTTGTGGAATTAATGTCGTTAGTTGAATTCCACCACTGAGTATTTCAATAATGTAAAATACTCACAATCACAGATAGAGTGAAGAACAATTTTCAATGTTCTTATTTGTGGTTGATTTTAAAAACCTTCTCAGATTCCCGGACACACCTTCCTAAAATATATCTTCTTCTGTTTTCCAGTAAACTCCTTCCTTATGGTCTTGGAAGTCCCCTGTCGCGTCGACGCCGTTCAGCCGAGCGTTGCGAATGTCTCAACTCGGCCGATAAAACCTGTTCCGGGTTCTGCCAAAAAAGGTAAGCGCCCTTCCCTTTTCTTCTTCTTCCATTCACCTACACCAGGGGTGTCCGAACTTCTTTCGCCGAGGGCCACATACAGAAAAATATACGAAGGGCTGGGCTGCTCACTAGGAGGTTTATTGCCTCATAAGTTATAAGTTAGAAAAATCAATCAAATGTAGGTAAATTATTAATACTTGAATATGCTTTAAGAAAAACAACAGTCTCCATCACAGATCTCCATGGGGTTTCATTTATTTTAGCTCATTCCTTACACCAGAAGCCTCAGATTGCCTATAAGAGGATATAGGAAGGGTATATTTCAAGGTTGTTATGAAAATAAGTTATTGGGCTTTTTTCTTATCAACTTAGATTTGTTAGAAAAATGTTTCAACTTTAACCGACTGAATTGATTTGAAAAGTGGGCTTCTTAACACATGAACACTGTGTACTATCTGTTTTCTTCTATATTTAAGAAGTAAAACACAAGCACAAGTTTCATTTGAGAGCCATACTGCATTATAGTTTTTAGAATTTGCTGAGGGCCGATTCAAAATGGCTCGCGGGCCGCATTTTGCCCCCGGGCCATAGTTTGGACACCCCTGATCGAGACCTACAGCAAAGCACCATCACGTACATGTTTTTTTAGAGGATCAAAGAAGATTATGTGTCTTCTTCAACAAGTCTGAAGTATGATTCAACGTGTGATAAAGTCACATAGGGGTAGTAGTAATATCGAGAATAGCCCGCATTTCTTTGACGGCCTTGAAAGAAAACCACCATGCTGCTATTTCTGGATAGTCCTTGAATTTCTGCTTTCACTCAAGGAAATGTTTGTTGCGTCTCCGCGTTATTGCGGTTATGAAGCCACCATTACAGATTAGTCACTGTTTTTAGATGTTATCCGAGGTGATGTTTACGAAGCACACCCCTGCATTCCTGGGTATCTACGGATACATTCGTATGAAAGTCCAAGGAAATTGCCTACTAGATCAAGAAACTATTAGCGTGATAATGCCAGACAAGAATCCTCTAATTCCAAGAAGTAATTGGCAGGGATATGTTTTTAATGCTGTTGTGTTTTCTGTCCGCAGCTCAGAGAAACCAAGGAGGAATATCGTTGGACCATTGGTGGATTCTACAAGTACAAACAGCAACAAACTGCTGGCATCTTTCAGGTACATTAACGATCATTTAAGGTTGATTTAAATACATACTGTGGTGTGTAGGGATGTCATAATATCAGGAATCAAGGGGTCAATAATAAAACAAGTGAAAATCCATGTTTCTTGACACCAATAACACAAAATCCAATGTACTTAGACATACAGTTGTTCATTACCGCAGGCCAAACTAGTTCTTGTTATGAAGTGAAACAGGTCATAATTCCTACTTTAATATCTATTCTGAATTGCTCTGAAAACATCTTCAAAAACTGTGTATATAGTTCATTGCCAAAAAGTCACACAGTACACATTTTTTGCTGAATAGATGCAACTTTTCTCATCCTGCTGCTTATGGCTAACTCAAACTAGCTTGCCTCTTGTAGCATTATCACGGAAATGTATTTATTGTAGATAGCAAACTTACAAAGTTTCAAAACCAATTTTCTATAGTCCTGTGAAATCCGTTTAAGGCCTTGATGGTTCTACGGTATCTCCGGTACTCGAATATGGTCACGTTTTAGAACATGTAGCATCTACTTTGAACACGATTACTGGTTTTCGTTGCATCCCTAGTGCTGTGTTTGACGGTCATTTCTATGGCGATCAAAGCTAACCTGTGTTTTTTCTTTTGTTCTTCTTGCAGATCTAGAGTCGAGACCAACACTGTGATCGCCAAATACTTTCTGTCTATGAAACCCAGAGGAGTAAAAACTGGCTGAAGAGCAGAACAACAGAGAGGTAGAGGACCAGAAGAAGTTCAACCTCAATGGGCCGGAGACCCCACGGTTCGAGAACTCATCAAGAGTCTTACCAACTCTTGGGATGTAGAGGGGGAATGGTAAAAGGAAAGGAGGCAGTGGATCGAGAACTTGATCAACAAAAACCAAGCCTCGGAGCACTGGCACCAGGAAACAAAGCTGGGTGGAGACGTTTAGAGTCGCTTATTGAACGCTCTTTGAACTTTTTAACAACAGATGCCAAGAAAGGATCCATTAAAGCCAAGGACATGGAAACTGGTGTCTGGCCCTTTGGGGAACTACCAAGAAACAACAATCAAGACATGACTATTGTTCAGAGGAGGAATATAACAAAGTACTTCTCCTATTCTACAATTCAAAAGGAAATGTTATTGACTTCACTACATTTATCTGACAGCTGAATACTACTACTCCTTTACAAATTAAGATTTTTGCACAGGTTTTTTTTGTTGATAGGTAATCATTCATAAAACATTTCATGGTTCAAACTTCTCAAATGTAAAATGTACAGGTCTTACTGGTCTAGCACATTTTTTGATTTGGACCGTTACTCTCACACAACATCGTGAAGTTATGAATTTGGCCTTTGGATAATTGGCATCTTCACAATTTTTACCGAGTACTTTTCAGTGTGATTCTGGGTATTTTACTTAAGAAATAATCCTAACACTACCTTATCCACTGCTGTTGTTAAAATCAGTTACTAAATCAGTGGTTATTTTACATCTAAAGCTCACCTACAATGACGACCGTAGGATCATTAGCCGGGAATTGTTTTTCAATGTTTACTAAAAAGTCATTGCTGACCTTTGGTTCAGTTTCATGTTCCTCTGTATCAGAGCGGCGATCTGCTGTCCTGCCTGAGTTTAAGGCAAATTGCTTTTTTAATTATCAGGCAGTACTTGAACAATATTCACTCATAAACCCAGGGAAATGAAGGTCATCTCTTTGGGGTTTATCTCATAAACAGCTCTACATAAGGCCCATTGTCAGCTCCTATACAGCAGTCTGCTTTCTGCTAGCATAACAACAACAACAGTGGGTCCATTGTGTTGGCTCAAGTGTTTATTGCATAGCTCTTGTTTAATGTTTTGATTGAAGATAAGCCAAACAGTTTCAATGACGAGCCGCTTGCCAAAAAATGCACCAATGTTTTTTTCCTCTCCTGACAAATGCTAACTTAATTCCTCCGTTATTACCCACTGGGAAATGATGACTTGAGTTTATGCACTGCAAAAGTTAACCATGTTAGGAATGCACTTTCTCCGTGACACAGATCCGTTGTCACATGGAAATATAAACCTTCATCCTCAAATATCTCAATGCTGCAAACGATGGATAGTTTGCCAGCTTAGAAGTTTACTGTTAAATGCTTTGTTGTATATAGAACTATTTATTTATTCTCTAACTTATTCAGAGATGTATTTATATTTGTATGAATGATGCATTGGATTGTGTATGAGAAAATAAAGAAAAGAACATTTGCAAGAAAACTTCTCGTAGCAGAATGGTTATTTATTTGACTTTTTGTATTTGAATGACATTTCTGTTTCCTAATGTTTCTCCAGCTACACAATGCAAACACTTGTAATCATTTTAAATAGAATATAATAAGAATTTTATAGAATTGGGAGGGATGAACCCCTCTTTAATGGTCACATATGCAGAGCACACAGCACACACAGTGACATGTGTTCTCTGCATTTAACACCAGACCAGGAGTCTAGTACTAGGAGCAGTGGGCAGCTATTGTACAGCGCCCGGGGAGCAATGGGAGTGAGGGGGGAAGGGGGGTGTCTGTTGCCTTGCTCAAGGGCACCACGGCAGGGCAGGAGGTGAACTGGGACCTCTCAAAGTAGCAGTCCACACTCCACATTTTAGGTCTGATCGGGGACTTGAACCGGCGACCCTACAGCTCACAGTCCAAGCCCCTAATTATGACATGCCAGTAAGCACAAGTTCACCACTGGATCCACTGTTAACTTTCCCTTTCTTGGAGGAAATAATCCATGTACTCTATGTCAAGGGACATTGATACTTTTACTTTACACAATGGATTTCCGCAAATGTAGTCTCATTTGTTTAATCGATATGGACGCTTATTGTTAAGAAACTAAAGTTGGCTAGACTTAAACAAATAATTGACTGTAGTCGTTGGGTGTAACACCAGTTCATAGACATTTTACTAAAACATTAAGCGAACAAAACAAAAGAGTGGACTTTGAAAGAGCAAATAGACATGCTGCAGTGATTTCAGTGTATACATGATAACTTTTTCTATCATTTCATTGAATCTTTTAAAACAAACAATCAATGATCTATTAATCTGACGAGTTGAGACGTTTAGAAAATGCCATTAAGTTGAAGAAATTCGATTTTCTCTTTTTTAAAGTATATATTTAATAGAAATGGCTCAAATCCGTCTACATTTGATCAATGATTAAAGGTTAATTAAAACGATGTCCATTATTCCTGCGAGTCAAATTTAATACAAGAAAGGCTTCCCATTATAAAAGATTGATATCTAACTTGTTTTGTAAATTAAACTACAGGGTCTTGTAATAGCAGAAATGTGATTTGAGCATGAATTCGAAAGCTACTCTATTGATATACTATTGGTCATAAATCTTTCAGGAACCCATCTTAAGATACGAAACCTTTGAAGCATATATTTAATGTCATCACATTAAGGCAGTTCATTAAGTCCATCACAATCAATATGGATAGCAAGCAGTTACATTCCTGTTTAATTTGGCTACAAAAAACTTTCTCCTCCTGTCTCTACCTGTTTTTCATTATAGCGTATGGTTATTTTGCACTAATAATGCACGTAATCAGTCCTTTCTATGTAAGCCGGGGGGGGACGTGGATTATCCCAAAGACATGCCTCTGTGATTGTATGAATATTAAAACTTGGGCGAAACGCATGCATGCACGTATCCCGGGGCTTTCTGAATCCTCAAAACATACAGACACAAGAGGCAAAAAGGCTACATAAGAGAGTAATGGAGATTTTGGGGAACTGAGTGCAAAGAGTGGAACAGTCTTCAAAAAAAGTGCCTGAACGTTGCATTTTTGCACATTGTTCAATCCGAGGTAAAGAGAAGTTGGCTTTGTGGTTGTGACAGCACCCGTGTTGGTGTTAGTTAACGTTAGATAACTTTCAACGTTGACCTACTGTAGCTGCAAACATTGTAAATTATAGCCTCAACTTCTTCCAACATTAACATTTGAATATCTGTTAGCTAACGTCTTTTTCTCCCGTGTTTTTGGAGGAGCAATGCAGAAGCTAAGGACAGGTCATTTGGTGGTTGTCTTGCAAAATTAGATATTAAAAACATAATGCAAATTGCTACTTTTACAATAAAGGCTTCCAAAAAAAGGTAGAACAATGCAAACTGCAAAATACTTCAGGCTGCAAACTGTTTATTTTTCTTCTTTGGTTTTAAAGCTTTCATGTAAATTTTCTTTATTGCTGATTGTAACAAATCATTTACTCAGAAGTAATCAGATATTTACTATGACTGTATCATCCATAGTTATTATTGTCCAATTGACTAGTTTTAAAAAACAGAACAATGTATGAGGACATTATAATTGTTCATTTTCTGAATGCATGTTGCTGTATAACATGGATGATATATTGACAGGGACAATACATTTAAGCAGTGCTAAACTTAAATCAAGTATGCCCAACAAATAGCTTTGTACAGTTATATTTCATTAGCTTCTGATCCAATACTTTGGAGCTTGAGTGTAGGATGACATTGCTGAAGAGAAATACAATGAAATCATGGTGTGGATATATATTTTGTACCGTGACAATATAAAAACCATGGCTTGAAGTATTATAAGTTGTAGGTTGTATGTATGAACTTATGTATAAATGAATACAGATGAAATCCCTGGTCAAGTCTCTAGACCAGGGGTTCCCAAAGTGGGGGTCGCGAGATGATTACAAAATAAAAATGGAAAATTAAAAATATATATATATAAAAAAAAATTGATTAATCTTTTTTATATATTTTTTTAAATTATTATTAATAATAACGTTTGCATAGACATTTTCAGGGGCGGACTAGCCATCTGTATAATTTCCCCGCAACGAGGCTCCCCCTTTGACAATCCACTAGCGCAGTGTTTCTCAAACTTTTTCATACCAAGGACCACTTAACCAATAAAAAACACTCATGGACCCCCGTCCGTCCCCCCGTCCCCCTCCCCCGTCGACAGGGGGTCGCCAGTCTCTGGCACTGTTATTTTGGGGTTCGCGGGCTGAAAAGTTTGGGAACCCCTGCTCTAGACTGATCAGGTGAATGTATGTAATAGTCTCAGTATTTAACTACAGAACAGGCCCACAGTGAACCTGCTGTAGTATTTAGTTTCTGCACACAGCTTTTCTTTGTGTACAGTATAATGTAGCCTGCAGAAGTGTTGAGTTTGTCCCCTTGTCGCTCCGTGCACTGATGTTTACTTTAGATAGGCTGTCCTCTGAGAGCGACGTGTTTACTATAGAGGATGTCGGAGACTTCTGATTATCTGCAGGACTTCCAGGTCACAGGACAAATGTTTAAGGAATGACAGGCTACACAGTAAATGAGGCATTAGCAACATTCAAAGTCAAACACAGGTTAATATGTGTTTTTTTGTGTGCATTGAAAACTTTTGTTGGGGAAAGAAAATGAGGAGAATGCTGCAGAAACACACCTTGGTAATGTGCACCTGCGTCTCCTTTACCACAGTGACATCCTCGTCATTGAGCCTGACGTCAGTAGGATTTCCAGAGTGAATACAGAGTGTGAAAAGCTGACTAAGTCCGAGGAATGAAAAAACAGGATGCTTTTTCTGCATTCCTACCGAATTCCTTTAGCGCAGGAGAAAACCGGGAGGAAAAAGAAACAAAGGAAAAGCAGGAGCACGTCTGCTGTTTGCTCAGGGAACTGATATGGGCTGGATGGAGGAGGGAGATTACAACCTTAATCACGCTGTTGTCAAAACACTCCTCGCATTGTTTGCCTTTGTTTTAGTCCTTGTTCGATGATGTTGCCCATTTCTTTTCTTTTCCCCGACATGTGGGCTGATGGTAAATCTCGATTGTGTTGCTGTGATTGTTTGTGAAAGTCTCACTGGGATCAGGAGTGTTGTTTTTGCTTGGAAACATTTCAGGTTAGGACATTGTGCTTGTTGTGAATTTACAGTAGCCGATTTAGGAACTGCATGAAAAAAAAATACTGGGCTGAGGAGAGGGATAAGATCTCAAACTGCATGAACTTTATCCGGGCAAGTAGTCTTTTTCAAGAGATACCTGATACAGAGCAAACATATTCCACCATGAATAACTTACCCAATACATCCCTGAAATTATCTAGAGCACAGGTTTCCAAATTTGGAGTCGATCCAAAGATCAAACAGCATAATCATGATCCAATAACCATCCAGGAACACTTTCCAAGGCTTTGAATAACCATGATCTAGAGCAGGGGTGTTCAACTCAAATACACAGTGGGCCAAAATAAAAAAAATGGGTACTAGTCGAGGGCCGGACTGGTTCAATGTTTATTGCAAAACGTATTGAAATGAACTCATTGCACATATTAAACCTGGAACTAACAAAGCTTCAATTATTGCCTATAAAAACAACATTAAACATTAAATAATCAGTTGCATTCATTTCTTATGGCTCTATCTGCAGCTTTTCAAGAGTCATTTCTTATGATTACATTTTCCCACAGGCCAACAACAGCTTCAAAAAAACTATTTCCCTCAAAGAAAAAAACAAACATGCCCTGTTGACGTGAGAGAAAAAGTACAGAAGGAAACATCCATTGAAACTCTGTGTCCTGCTCTGTGATGCTAGTTCAAGCAGATACTTGGCATCTCATCTTGGGTGCAAGTTCATCAATGTTTGGGCTCAGGCTCTGAGCTGAGGAAACCCTCAGGATGGAGTGAAGGTGTGCGTGCAATATACCGGCGGGTCAGATCTAATAGTAATTAGAAATTATCTTGCGGGCCCAAATTAAATCCACCAAGGGCCTGATTTGGCCCCCAGGCCTTGAGTTTGACACATGTGATCTCGACTAAATTATCCCAATTATTCTGACTGGACTTTAAACAGCCCCTCCCAGTGTAATAACACAAGGTCTGTTGAAAGTCTGAACACAATGTACAGCCGAGGCTGATAGATATGTCTTTAGTCACAGAAACCACACTAAAGGTCATATCAATTATGACCTGAACAAATTGGGGGATAATTGAAATCTATGGAAACGAAGAAGTCATTTGGAGGTAATAAAATAACGGTTAACCAACCAACATCATCATCCTTAGAAGAGGAATAAACAATGTCCAAATTGATGGTAAATATAATGAAAGGCTTCACCTAAATTGTAATACTGGGCAACTTTATGATATATTCAAATGTATGTTTAACTTTTCGTTAAGATGCAAAAGAAAGTGAAG